GGGTACCATTGGTCACAAGCAACCAAAAAGGTCTATCTATCAGTAATAATAATGTGTTACCTTTTATTGTGCGCTGGTCATTAAGACTTACTTACTTAAAATACCCCTTAGTCTTAGATGACAGTTGGGGCACCAAGGATGACCGGGCAGCCACTTTTCTCCTCCCTTCTCTATTTTCAGCCTTTTGAAGGGCTTTACCCAACTTTAAACGTGTTCATTCCGTTACGTTGTCTTCCCATCTCTTTTTCTGTCTGTCTTTCCTTCGCCCTCCTAGTAGTGTCCGAAGTATCAACTTTGCAAGTCCTGTTGACCTTGTTATGTGCCTATACCACCATATCAATTTGCGGATTTTATATATATATTTTTTTTTACCGTGGTGAGAAGATCTTCAAAGGGCCCAATGACTTGGCCGTTTTTGTCCCTCACTTCCTCATTTGTAACATGGTCTCTGTAGGAGATGCCCAACAATCTTCAAAAGCATAATATCATTTCTGTAGGTAGTAGGTGGGAATGGTCATTAGTGCAGCGCATCAAAGCTTTCATCTTGCCCGCGAGCGGATCAATGGGGTATAAATTAGTCTGTACATATTTGGTAGTTGGAGTAACTCCCCTTGTCGATGGGTGTGTCACTCGAGCAAAGATGGTAGAGTATCTTAGGGATTTTTTGGGGGTAATTATTTTACGGCGCTCGCAACTGCATAAGGTCATATGAGCGCTAGGGATATAGATCTATTAAACATTTTCAGTTAAAAGGAAATTCTGAATTTTGCCCGGGTGGCAGCCGAAGCTAACTAAGATTGATTTTAAACCACCAAGGGATCTTTAACGTACGCAACTTGCATACGGGACCTGCGAGATTTTTCGCCCTTGTCCGAGAAGGCTAGGTGTAGGTCTTTCCTACCATAAGATCAGGGGTGTGGCTGAAAGAAAGCAGTAAGAAGGAGTCAAGAAGAATCAGTAGAAAGGCTACAGAAAGAGTCAGGAGCCCAGAGGAGGGGGCAAACGTGGGG